TTGATGTTGGAATGAAAGGTCCAGTGAGTAAGTTGGCTGATATCCCAGTATTGCAGTGTAGAGGTTCTGTCATCTATCAAATCCAGAATGGGACTTGGTGCATTTCTTATCTGTCTGTATTTTTATGTATATATGTGGATGTGTATTATCAGAGTAGGCACGAGAATGTGTACCAACTAACTTAACTAAAAACAAGGGAATACCGTAAAGATCCTACATACTCCTTAGATAACAACAGAGGAGTATCCCAGTACTTGTCAAGTGCCTGCCTCTTGTAGTCTGTGTTTTCTGAGTGCAGAGGTCTGATTATTTTTTTTTCAAATGTATATACTAAAGTACTGAAGGGAATCTGACCACTAAACTGAGTGATATGTGTGGCATTGAAATACATTGCTTTTTATGTAGTGTTTCTCTGAAATTTTCATTCTCGAAATCAAATCACCTGCCTTCCAGAATCTTTGTCTGTCCCAGGACTTTTATGGTGAGAGGATTCTGTATAGAGTGGATGGAGTGATCTAAAAACTTGGAACGAGTGGAATGGCCTTATTTTCCCTCTAATCTTAACCTCCATCAGCTTATTTCAGTGGTCTTCCTACACTTGGCAAACGTGATGGAGCTTGCCTGTTACTTTTGTGCTGCATTTTTGTGTTCTATGAGCAAGTCTTAAGATCCAAAGCAGCCTGGCACATGAGTTTCTTAACAAGACCTCAAGATTACGAAAGCAGGCTTCTTAATTGTTAATGTGAGTAGCACCTCTGTGAAATTTTGTGTATATCTGTAAGCTACTGGGGAAAAAAAAGTCTTAATAGTCTTTGATAACAATACATTGTAGAAGATACCACTGTCTTCTGGGCCAAAAGCACTGAAAGGCTGCAGATGCTACTCTGCTCCTGGAGGAACTTTAGTAGATGAAATTCAGAAAACCAGAAGGAGGGTTCTTTGTTTTTAATACTTAACAGTGGGGGAAAAGAGTACCAGCATCTTTCTTTAAGCCTGCTGTTTGGAGTGACCGAATGCAGGTCACTGCTTGCATTTCTGTGTGGTATAGAGGTTCTGTAGAGATTTGAAGTGAATTAACACTGGGGGGAAATGGATTTTTGGATGCGGAAAATATTTTGTGACCCACCTCTGGGCTGAATCCCCACTTTGTGTAAAGAACACTGCTCTTCAGCTGGGAAAAATAGCTGGTGCCCAGCCAGCAATGGGAGTTTATTACTAAATTATGCGTTTGGAAACATGGAATAAAAAGGTGGGGAGGGAGATGGTGGAACAGGGTAGGGGTGGAGGGAACCTCTGATTAAATGATGTCTAGGGAATGATGTGGAATAAGATTTACTGAACTTATCAGATGCTACCGGGCTCTCCAGGTGTCCTTCCGTGCTGTGTAAGGTTAAATACCTTGGCCTCGGGCCTTTGTTACAGCAGCATTTTTCATTCCATGTCCTCTTTCTGACTGGAGTAAGGACATTTGCCACAGGGGTTATGTTTTTGTTTGGTCTTAAGCACAGATCAGTCTGTTTTAATGCCTTGGGTTATATAGTTCAGCCTCATTGTTACCCCAGTTGGAAGAATTGTTGTGAAAACCATCACTTGATGAACCAGATGTTTCAAATGTATTTGCTGTAGCTGCAATTGGAGGGGAAGGCAGCCTTACTCTTTTGAATCCCAAGGATCCCCTACTGAGATACTTCCACTAATTTCAGTAAAAACCTTTTTTGAATTTTACCTGTAAGCACGTTCAAGGTCTTTAGTATTTCATATGCAAAGGAGTACTTTCTGTGACTCTTCATAGCTCCAGCCTAACACTAACTTTGAACCGAGGTTTCACTTATGTCCTGGAGAAAGCAACTGTAACTGGACTGTTTTTGCAGATACTTAACCACGTGATTGTACAGTTTAGCCCAGCTTTATTCTAAATACATAACATTATACAAGTTTTATCCAGCCACATTGCTTTTTAGAATGAGTGTACCAAACTGCACATACAAACTGTGTGCTTGGCTGGGTTTTACTCTTTTCTCCTGAGCTGGAAACCAGATACTGCTCTCATATCCCGGACTGGAAGCCAGGAGTCCTGAAGGCTGGCATTCCAGCACTCTGCCACAAAAGATTGTCCAATATGTTGGCAAAATATTTCCAGACCGTGCTGAAGGAGCTTAATTGCACTAAGGAGAGAAAGAAAAGGGAAGAAAACAAACAACCAACCCAGCAAACAAAACTGTTTCCACTCCCATTTATAGAGCGGATCTAACAAGCAGAATAGATCTATTGTGTAATCTGATGATCCTCTTGCTACTAAGACCTATTAGCTAGGTTTGGATCCAGATTTGTGTCTCTGTGGGATCGATAGCTCATAGGGTGTGTTTGTAAGGAATTCATCTGGGGCTGTATGAGGAACTTTAAATTCTAGTATGTCATGTGGCGTGTGTTCCTGCATGCGTGTTTGTGTAGGGGTGTTAGATGCTTCCAGACTTTGTTACAATATTGTAGGACCTTTTATCTTCAAGTCACCTCTTCGATTCCCTTTTGCTTCAGCAAGAACTAAAAGTTGCTCCAAACCATTTGGATATTTGGATAGTTTGTATACGAAATGAGTTTAGAGGAACTTGTACTGGATCCAGTATATCAAATTTGGTATTGTACTTATTCCTAGTGTTCAGGCTTAAAAGGAGAAGCCAAGAGGCCGCATAGCGCAGAAGGAAATGCTGGTGGGGCTGTCTGAAGATACTAACTTTGTTCTGTTGGAACACCGGGGAAAGATTGGTAACTTCTTTCAGCTGGGATGCCAGGCTGACTCTCTTCATCTACAATGAAGTCATCTCTCTCAGGCTCCAGCATATAGTATAACCGTTGTAGTACGTCACACATGGAGTTATGCAAAACATCTTACATACTTTTCTTTTTAAAGAATATATTTCCCCCTGTGACTGGGCTATTTTTATGGTTGATCGTTTCAGAGAAGTTTCTCTCGGGGGAATATATCTTCCAATTGGTTAGTAGCAGAGGAGGAGAGGAAAGTTACATGACTGATAAGAATAGATCTGGAGAGGAGGAAGAATATAGTGGTTTCTTATGGAAAAAATTAGCAGTTGCTAGTCTGTTGAAATGTTCCCTTACCATGAGAACTGTTTTCTATGTCAGGCTTGATTTTGAGTCGTCATGCTGAATTCCAAATTAAGTGGCCTCACTTTAAGCTGTAAAATTATCAAATTAACCTCTATTGCTATCTGCTCATTTTAATAGCCAAGTCACTGGTTTTATTTGAGAAGGGAATTTCCTAAGATGTGCAGCATCTTGCCTCATTCTTGGTTGTGTTCAGTAATGCATATCGGGTGTGGGTTGGGGTTTGGTGTGGTTTTTTTAATAGGGCTGGGAGGGGATTTGTATTAAACCTCAAAGCTGTGTGTACTTCCTGCACATATCTAATGTACATACTTTCACGTGTTTGGGTTGTTTGGAAATGTCTCTGTGTGTGTGAAGTTCTGAATAAATGAAAATTGTCTTCTGAAGCTACTGAGTAAAACTGACAAGATTTCCTATGAATTTCTTTCTCATGGATGATAGCAGGTTGATTTTTTAGAGCTCTTCCAGCAATGAAGGCCTTTACAAGGTCTGTCTTGCTCAAGGACTTTTCATAGAATAGTGAATTCATGTTACTGCTTCTCTGTCAGACACTTGGTCATTGTCTTCTGAACTGCTGTTTTTGTGAAGTTGTAGGAGCTAAACTAGCCTTGATATTTCTGTCCCAAAATACAGGATTTTTTTTAGTCTGTTCCACTTCAATTTAAGATGTTTCTGTGGGTTAAGAAGAGATTGTCACAGTGTACATTGGTAAAGCATAATTCTTGTAGAAAGCCGAGCTTAAAACTTTTTTTCTGTTCAAGCAAGGGTCGATCAGTTTCAGAAACCAAACTGATGTTTTTCTTCATGTGCCTTTTTCTTCTTCTAGGGTTTTCACAGACATTCAGCAAGTCCTCAACAACCTGACACATCCCCGTTTTGTATTCACAGACAACGAGGGAGAAGCAGACATCCTCTACAACTTCTCACACTTCAAAGATTACAGGTTGCAATTTTTCCTCCGATAATACAAATTCTTTCTTTGTTATAAAAACTGTGTTCCCAAAGGCCTCCCCCACCTTCACCCAACAATTTCTTTCTTTTGTAGGAAGCTGAGTGAGGAAAGGCCTGAGGTAATGCTGAATCAGTTCCCATGTGAGAACCTCCTGACTGTCAAAGACTGCCTGGCATCCATCTCTAGAAGAGCTGGAGGACCAGACGGGCCAAGATGGTTGCCTCGTACTTTTAACCTCCAAACAGAATTGCCTCAGTTCATCAGCTACTTCCAACAACGTGAGAGAAGGTGGCTTATGTTTCCCCTTCCTTACATTTTGTGCTTTCTTGGTCCCGCTTCCCTCAAAGACCAGTACCCTGCATTTTGAGCTTGGCAGCTGTTACACCACCATAAGTTTGTTCTTGCTGCCTTAATGTTCAAGGGAATTTTATCTGGGAAGTGAGAGAGCTTTTTTAGGTATTTTTTTTATTATAAGAGTAGTTAAGCAATGCATTTTGAAACACAAACTTGGCCATGATTTGAATACAGATTTGAAGGCTGTTGCTTTTTGTCTAGTCAAGACCTTACCTCTAGTATTTAACAGATATACAAATTTCAGGGGACCAATAGCAGTTGTTCTTGTACTTAAGCCAGGGTGGAAAATGTTTAGAGTTAAAATGCGTGAGTTCTGTAAGGTTGTGAAAGTAAAATGGAGGTTTAGCGTTAGCCAAAAGCGGTTGTGGAGCTCTGCAGTTTTAAGTCCACATTCTTTCTGCCGCTACAGCTGCCTTGGAGTGGATGAAAACTAAGATTTTTCTTCCTGTAAGAGAGAAAGAGAGCATTAGGTACTGCTGGAGGAATAACCTCTCTTGCCTAGTATGGAGTATTCTGGTGGAAAAGTTGCTTCTTTGGTGACACTTGCTTACGGTGCCATCTGCCAGGCGTTTCATTTGGCCTTTCTTTGCTCTACATAGTTTGTTATTGACTGGCATGACCAGGAGAGAGCGCTCCTTCCACGTGTCCCTGGTGTGTGGTGCTTTAATTCCTTTTTAATACCAAGGGTTGACAGTGAATGCAGTGTGTATGTAGGGAACGGGAAGAAGGAAGTAGGAATTTTCAAATAAACAAACAAAACAGGCTCTCTTAAGTTAACATCGCGAACGTCAGCTCAGTTTATGCTGTGTATCATGAAGCTCAAGAAGTTTCTGAGGATGCTTTAATAGATTGAGGAAAGGAAGACATCAAGTGTTACCCTGCCCTTAGAAAGATACATTGAAAGACCAGCATGTTGCCTGCTTTTCTTAAGGATATTTCAGAGAATTTTGCTCCTTGAGGTGACTAGGTACTAGAAAGTGAGAAGATGGTGGTGTGCTTTCATTTTCTTGTAATATGGTGAGATGGTGAGGGGTCTGGAGAATAAGTCTTATGAGGAGAGGCTGAGGGAGCTGGGGTTATTCAGCCTGGAGAAGAGGAGGCTGAGGGGAGACCTTATTGCTCTCTACAACTACCTGAAAGGGGGGGGTGGAGAGAGGTGGGGGCCGGTCTCTTTTCTCAAGTCGGTGCTTTCATTTTCTTGCAATATGAACTGCTGAGATACAGTGTGATTTCTTCCCAAAGAGATGAGTTACGGTGTCATTTAATATGAATGATTTGAAGATGTTATTCAGGAATCAACTTGGAAAATTGCACGATACCCTGCCAGAATGTTCTCAGCCTCTTGGCAGAATGATTTCTGCAGCACGACCTGTGCCTGTTCACGATGATGCTGTCCTGTTGGTGGGTTGCTTTGTTCTTTTGAAGGAGTTGGGTGCAGAAGAAGGAAATAAACAGTGAAAGCATGCTAAGCCTGAACTGAAAAGATCAGCGAAAGCTACTGCTGCCTTTTCTGCCCTTAATGCCTAAGGTCTAACGTTACCAGGTGTCAGTCAAAAGTCCTTAGTTTTTGTCAAAATTAGGTTGACGGTTGGACAAGATGATCTTTAAGGTCCTTTCCAACCTAGAAGATTCTGTGATTCTGTAATATGAACTGCTGAGATATTGTGTGATTTCTTCCCAAAGAGATGAGTTACGGTGTCATTTAATATGAATGATTTGAAGATGTTACTCAGGAATCAACTTGGAAAATTGCACGATACCCTGCCAGAATGTTCTCAGCCTCTTGGCAGAATGATTTCTGCAGCACGACCTGTGCCTGTTCACGATGATGCTGTCCTGTTGGTGGGTTGCTTTGTTCTTTTGAAGGAGTTGGGTGCAGAAGAAGGAAATAAACAGTGAAAGCATGCTAAGCCTGAACTGAAAAGATCAGCGAAAGCTACTGCTGCCTTTTCTGCCCTTAATGCCTAAGGTCTAACGTTACCAGGTGTCAGTCAAAAGTCCTTAGTTTTTGCACTATAGCCCACATAAATAAAGTATTTTTTCAGGGGAGTATGCAGATCAGTTCTAGTGGATGTTCAGACACGAGTGAGGTGGATACTTACAGGCATTGGCTTTTCTCTCTTTTTCTCTCTCTCTCTCAGAGGAGAAGACAATCACTAAATATGCAAACCATGGAACTTGGCCAGAAGCCTGGATACCCACATCACCAACAGCCTTAACAATATCATCAGGCATAGGGAAAGCAGCCCAAAGGTTAGAGAGCATGGATTTGAATGTGATTTAAGGGGAAGAGCTGAAAAAGCTGCTTCATGCAAGGAAGTCTGAGAGTACAAAGAAGGAAATTTATTTTCTTCAAAAAATAAGGATGCAGTTTCAAATTAGCTATGGGCTTACAGTTTCAGTCAATTCAGAAATCATTCAGAATCAAATCGGTCAGCTCTCAAAGAGCCCGGTGTTTTCTTATTTAAAAAAAAAATATAAAAATATATAACTTCCCCTGACAGTAATGAATACACCAGTGTGGGGTTGGCAGATGATCACACATTAGCTATTGTTAGTGTCAGTCATAAATTTTGGTACATTATTGCGTCTGTCCCCTGGTTGATCACTATTGCAGAGCTACAGCTCTGCTCAGTGGCACAAAGCTAACAATAAATGAATCATGAAGGTTTTTGTAGAGACTGCAGTTGTACCTCAGAGTGTCACTTCAGCTTTATTTCTGTTGGTGTGCGGACTGCACATATTTTCTGGAATGCAGAAATGCACAAAGAATTGCTTCACATTTCTAGTTCAAAACAACAAGATCACCAAATTGATAAGTAAATTAATTTTGTGATTTTTTTTTTTTTAAATCCATGCATTCTGTCCTCCCACTTTCCCCACCCTGATGTCAAAGAGTTTGATAAAAGGTACCTCTTTGCATAACAACATTGTGTATTCATGCACATTTCTAAAGAAAAACTGAAAAGCATATAAGGATACCTCAAATCATCGAGGTAGCGACACCTTGTTTTCATTTCAGTTGAATTATATTTACTGTGAGTGGTTTTGCTTTGTTGCAGGTGGTGTGCAAATACATTGAGAATCCAGTCTTGTTTCACCGAGAAGATGTGGGGATGGTTAAATTTGACATCCGTTACGTTGTGTTGCTGCGGTCCATAAAACCACTCAAGCTCTATGCCTACGATGTGTTCTGGCTGCGCTTTTCAAATCGGTAATTACCTTCTCCTCATTAGTGTGGAGGGGCTTAGAATTAAATCTGATAGCTCGGAAACTAAGGAATTGTTTTATTCCCTAGGGCATTTTCACTTGATGACTTGGATGACTATGAGAAGCATTTCACAGTCATGAATTATGCTCCCGGTGTAACATTAAAACAGGTAAGCAAACAGCCCAAAACATTCCCTCACCTTTCCCTTGTTAGAAACTCTTCCAGTGCCTCCTTTGTGACTCTTGCCAAATAACCTATTTCACATCCATTTAAACAAGCAAGTCAGTATGTTGAAAGTACCCTAAGTCCTAAGCAATTATTTTCCTAGACTCTTCCCCCCCTAATCATCTGTGATTTATCTAAGGTAACGCAAAGCTAGATCCTAAATGTAACCGATGTCGATAGAGATCAGTAAAAGAATAATTAAAATGGCACCTAATCATTGTCAAAGACTTCAGTGTGATCTTCTATAACAGGAAATACTGGAACAAGGAAGGTAGTCAAAACTGTCTAATTCCCTAGTTCTCTACCTGGGTTTGTATAAATGGCAAAAAATATTTGATGTTTCATTCTCTTTTCATCTGATTGCTCAGTCATTCCCAACCAAAACAGTCTTTGATGTTGCTAAACTGTTTTAGGTACACTGTGAAGAATTTATTCCTCTCTTTGAAAAACAATATCCTGAATATCCTTGGACAATGGTACAAGTAAGTCAGCAATTCATCTTTCTTGTGTAAATGTTCATGAATTCTTTTTACTCGGCAAACTAGCTTTTTCAAAAATGGTGTGTTTTTTTCCCTCATAAGACGTACTTCATGTGTATCAGTTCCATAAAGGACAACAAATGTTAACCTTTCTTTTAGAAGCATTTATTAACTTGGTGGAATTTCCCTCAAATATTTTGTTGTTAGCGTTTGAGAATATTATTTCATGATTATACTATAAGAAGTCTGTATATTAGACTTAGTAAGTCCTGACTACCTTCAGGATCCTGGGAAGAGGGTCTTTTTTTTTTTTTTTGCAAGTTCCATCTTTTTTAGCAGAAGGTTGCCAATAATCTAAGCCCATGGTTGTGAAGACTTTTAGTATTTCCTGAGAGAAGGCAGGGAAATCCAGAATATAAAGCGTGCTGATCACTACAGTTGTTGTTCATGTGGTGTGGAAAAGTTGTTTTCAAAACCTGCACTATTCTTCAGTAGAACAGCGTTTGAGAATATTATTTCATGATTATACTATAAGAAGTCTGTATATTAGACTTAGTAAGTCCTGACTACCTTCAGGATCCTGGGAAGAGGGTCTTTTTTTTTTTTTTTTTTTGCAAGTTCCATCTTTTTTAGCAGAAGGTTGCCAATAATCTAAGCCCATGGTTGTGAAGACTTTTAGTATTTCCTGAGAGAAGGCAGGGAAATCCAGAATATAAAGCGTGCTGATCACTACAGTTGTTGCTCACGTGGCATGGAAAAGTTGTTTTCAAAACCTGCACTATTCTTCAGTAGAACATTGATTCTGAAAAGTTGAACCAGTGAAGTATTCAGGCTCTTGCCTCTTTAGTTCCAAACAGCTTCACAAGATAAGGAGCTGTCAGAACAAGTAGGAAACTAAAGTAAATAGGAAATTACAGTATATGGTAATTCCAGTGAAATGGCATCACAGATTTTGATTTATCTCTTTTAAAGCAGAGCTGTAGGTCTAAAGATCTCCCTGCATCACTTTCAGGTTTGCTTGCTGGGCAAGCTGAGATGTGCCCAGCTGTGCCCAAGTAGCTGGGGGGAAATAAACACTGCCTCTGCTCCGGGGGTACGGTGCTTGAGAGGGTACACTGCCAGATTGGATGGCACAGAGCCTGCATTTGTGTGCTGTAGCATATTTAAAGAAACCAAGTTAGCCTGGTCTTCTCTCTTTTCTTAAAGACCCCTCCTCTGCCAATGTAATATCTCAGCCAGTAAGTTAGAACCCCTGTTAGTTAAATTAAATCTTTCCTTGGAGACCGCAGTGCAGAATTTCTTGCTGCTGCCCCAGCTTCTCTCTGTTGGCGAGCTGGCCAGAGGCCTGACCTTAGTCATTCATTGCATTATGTCTTTTCACAAGAAAAACAAATGGTTCCCTAATACTAGGGCATCTTTTATCTGCAAAGAGGAAGCTCCAAATATTGTAGTTCCACAAAACATGCAGGAAGGTGGATGAGGGCCTTCTCGTTGACTGTTGCCTGTAATTCATGCTTGAAAGAAAAAGCTGAACATGAACAGAACATGGACAAAACTGAATTGTTGCATCCTTCCATATTTATCAGGAAGTCGTTGCATTATGTCTTTTCACGAGAAAAACAAATGGTTCCCTAATACTAGGGCATCTTTTATCTGCAAAGAGGAAGCTCCAAATATTGTAGTTCCACAAAACATGCAGGAAGGTGGATGAGGGCCTTCCCGTTGACTATTGCCTGTAATTTGTGCTTGAAAGAAAAAGCTGAACATGAACAGAACATGGACAAAACTGAATTGTTGCATCCTTCCATATTTATCAGGAGCTAGAAGATGCAGAATGAACAGTAGCTGAGCATTTATATGTGTGTATGCTTTCAAAGTGAATAAATTACCCAACTGTGGGTTGATTTCCATAAATTAATGTTCATCCATTTTAACTGGAACCTCGCATCCAATCAAGGATACTCAGAGTATGACAGCTTTTGCAGCATTAGGTTTAAAAAGGAGACTATAGGGGGTGAAAAGATACACAAAATACGTACTGTAGGTTATCCAAAGTAGTCCAGTCTGCAGAATAGGAAGCGTTACACCATCTCTTTGTTTGCAGAAGGAATGGTTCATTTCAGCATAAACTCAATGCCAAAATTCACACCTGTGTGTTCTTCCTGTTTTATTTCACTTGCACTTTGGATATATGACAGTTTCTCAAAATACCAATGTAGTATATTCTTAAAATCTCCATGTCCCCACCACGCTTTTCAGGGGAGGTATAAAAAATGGATAGAAGACTTATCATTGTGGAACAAAACAGGTAGAATACAAATTAATAGGCAGGGAAAAGTCAGAACTTGACAGTTGAACTGCTGGTATTCACAGAATGTTCACAGGTTTTCTTTTTCCCTTCCTCTATGCGTAAGTGCAGTACTATACATAATGTCTGAGAAGGGGGTTAATTCTAATATTGAATGCCCTGTTTACAGGATTTCTGTAGTACTGACTTGCTCCCCAGAAAAGTCTGTGGATATTGCCAGGTGCTTGGTGCTTTCACTCTTGTCTTTAGGTCTAAATGCATGTTTTGAAGCTAATACTGTGCAGATTTTCATCTGTTGACTAGTGTCATTTATACAAAATCTTTAAAAGTTTGTATGAATGATGTTATTAAAAACATGTTTATTGCTTTTATGGAACCTCACTTGTTATTCAGAGATCTTTTTTCTGTTATTAGGCAAATATTTTTAAGGCATTTGCTGAATTGTTCCAAGTTGCTTCAGCTAATCCTGCGCCTCTTGGCATCTGCGATTACCCGTCATCAAGAGCAATATATGCTGTTGACTTGATGCTTAAATGGGACACCAGCAGAGATAGTGAGAAGCTTTGTTTCTTTGAGTGTTCAATTCTTTATATTTGTGGACCTTTACAGAAATTTAGTACTACTGTCAGAACTCTTACTGTCTTTCAAGCAGCGAGAGCTGTGCGCTCTGTGCCTCCCACTGATATCTGCAACTCGGCATTTGCTGAATTGTTCCAAGTTGCTTCAGCTAAACCTGCACCTCTTGGCATCTGCGATTACCCGTCGTCAAGAGCAATATATGCTGTTGACCTGATGCTTAAATGGGACACCAGCAGAGATGGTGAGAAGCTTTGTTTCTTTGAATGTTCAATTCTTTATATTTGTGGACCTTTACAGAAATTTAGTACTACTGTCAGAACTCTTACTGTCTTTCAAGCAGCGAGAGCTGTGCGCTCTGTGCCTCCCACTGATATCTGCAACTCCAGATGTGCTTTGATCTCTGGGGTTAGCATCTGCCAGGCTGGTTAACAGGAATGATGGGGGACCTGTTAACTGTGCTTGGCTGAGTCCTTGCTTCCCTTGTGCCTCTGCTACTGACATTCTCTGTTTAAAAAAAACAAAACCAAACCTAAATAACCCCACAACAACACCACAAACAAACAAAAAAACCCCACACAGAAAAAGCCCAACTGTACAGCAATCCAATCTAGTCACTCTGACAGCAGCAATATTTCTTTCCCATTTATTGTGAAACAATGTCTGAAATACCTGTCTCTTTGTGAAAACCTTAAAGAGACATTTTAGTATCTGTCCAAGTATTCTGAACTTGGACCACTGTCTTCAATGCACACTTATTAAAGCAGGGAAGGGACCACATTCATCATCTCAGTGTTATTGATCCTCAGGACCATCACTCAGTTGCCAAGTCTCTGTAAGAACATATATGTGAAGTTGCTTCATGTTAGTGCCACAGCATCGCTAACTACCCGGAGCTTTTCTTCCAGTCAGTTGTGGAGGACTGGTAGTAAAATTTACCAAACAGGGTGAATTTGTTTTTATCTCACCAGGAGGTTCAAAACCATTCTGTCAGCATGCCCACCCCAGACACAGAATCACAGAATCTTCTCGGTTGGAAGGGACCTTAAAGATCATCTTGTCCAACCGTCAACCTAACTGACAAAAATAGACCCCCACACAACAAACAAGGAGCATCATCACTAAACCATACCTCCCAGCACTACATCACCCTGTCTTTTGAACACCTCCAGGGATGGTGCCTCAACCACCTCCCTGGGCAGCCCATTCCAATGGCTGAGAACCCTTTCAGTGAAAAAATTTTTCCTAATATCCAGCCTGAACCTCCCCTGGTGCAACTTGAGGCCATTTCCTCTTGTCCTGTCGCCTGTGACTTGAGAAAAGAGACCGACCCCCACCTCTCTACACCCTCCTTTCAGGTAGTTGTAGAGAGCAATAAGGTCTCCCCTCAGCCTCCTCTTCTCCAGGCTGAATAACCCCAGTTCCCTCAGCCTCTCCTCATAAGACTTATTCTCCAGACCCCTCACATCTCTTGTAGGTAGAAAAGCAGCAGAGGTGCTGAGCCAACACAAAAAGGACTGTTGAGGGGCTATCAAGCACAACTGAGTGTACTCTTTTCTTGTAATGGAACACAGGAGAAATTAATTGTTTGTGCCCAGGTTTGCTGGAGGAGTGATTAGACACAACTGAGTGTACTCTTTTCTTGTAACGTTGTGGTCCCTGGAACACAGGAGAAATTAATTGCTTGTGCCCAGGTTTGCTGGAGGAGTGATTAGATGTATATTGGGTCGGTTCCCCCAGCCCTCTGCTGGAGTGGCTGATTCTGTAAATATTGAATCACTTTCGTGGAGGGAAATAATTGAGGAGCAGGCGGGGTAGAATTGAGCCTTAGCTGTTCAGATCAGGTGGAACAAGGTTTTGAATTTGGGGCTGCTACACCCGCGTTGAGCGCTCTTTCGCCTCTCTTAGGGTTGTCTTGAATGGGAGAGGCAAAGCAACTCACTCATATAACTAACTCGGGGAAAACTACTGCAGTAGAAGGACCACCCTCACATTACAGCTCTGGCTGTACGTGGGTTGTGCAGGTCCCTCCCTGGCCTTTGGGAGATGCAGGCGTGGGTGCAAAAGTCACAGCTGTGATGCTGTAGGCAGCCTATGGATGAACAGGTTAGTTGTTTCTGTGCAGAGCAGAGTATGGTTTCCCTATGCATCAGACGCTTGAACGCTCACAGTATCAACACCAGACAAGAAAATAAAATCTTTCATTTCTCTTTGCACAGAATGCATTTGATTCTGAACTGTACTGATGAAGTTTTAAGAGAAAATTAAACTTCCTGGTTTCCCTTTAGGAGCGAGATGAAGTGGTAGGTGGGAGTGGCTTAAGCGTAAAGGAACAGGACCGCCAGAACTGGAAAGGTAGATATCTAAGAGCTTTAAGAAAGGAAGGTTTGTACTGAAATGTGAAAGGATAAGGAGAGTTTTCTGGAAGATGTTTCAAACTGTCAAGCAAGACAGCTGTATCAGGGAAATCCTATTACATCGTTGCAAATTCTCATTCCAAATGAGGCATTGGATTAGCACAGTGATTGCAGAATCTGTTGGATGCTTGTCCTCTGGGTAATGATGGTAGAGCACAGCTCTGTTCCTCCCAAAAAACCCCCAAACCAAACCTACTGAAACAAAAACACTCTACTACCATGCCATCTTGAGTCATAAAAAATGGCTTTTTTTCAGTCGCTTTCTATAATCTGTGGTTCAAAGACAGGTAGTGATTCAGGTTCTTTATAGAATTTGTATTAAGAGGCAATGTCTGTGTTCCCCTTTACAGGGAAAAGAATTATGCAGCCTCAGATCCTGGAGGTGAACTTTAATCCCGACTGTGACAGAGCCTGCAAATACCACCCTACCTTTTTTAATGATGTCTTCAGCACCCTATTTCTGGATGAAACAGACAGCTGCCATGTGACGTGCATTGTCTAGCCACAGGAGGCTTGACTCTATTAATTTCCTTCCCAGATATGCTTAACAGCAAGATTTATATTTCAGTTCTATGAGCTGCTGATGCAACTATTTTCCTATACTGGTAACCTAGGGAAAAAAAAAAAAATTATATTAGAATAATATGCATATACCATGTACTGTATTGATAATCATTTTGTCTGCATCTTCCTTGTCTTGCTTTGTTCTATAAATCATCGGTTGCGTTGACCAAATGTCTTGTTCATCGAATATGGGAGACCTCAAAATAGGACAGTAACTGGAACAATTGACTTGTTTTTCAGGTAGCCTGCTTGCTTGCTGGGAAACATTGCACAAGTTCCCCATGTCAACATTAAAACTGTAATTTACTGATCATGTTGGAGTTTGTGTATCTCTTTCTTACCTATTCCTCTGTTATTCAAAGATCTGAAATGTTCTGATGGGAAATGCAATGAATTACTAGGGTAATGAGATTAAAGATTTAATGGCTCTGTCCCTTTTTTCTTATTTAAAAAAAGGTAAACAAACCCTGCAACATTTAGGAACCCTGTACTGCTGGTTGTCCTAGCCTGCCCCTTAAAGAAACTAGATTTATTGGGGTTTTTTTGGAGAAGGGGTCAGGCAGAAAGTAAGAAGGATGCAATGTCTAGAGCAGCACAGGTGAGCAGAAGCAGCCTTGAAGGAATGAAAAGGATCTGGGAGACCGTGCTAGAAGCCCAAGCAAACTTTGGACTTCAAACTTTAGGGCCTAAAATAGGAGGTATTTGGGAGTGGGGTGTCGGTTTGGAAGTAATTGTTCCTAATCTCTCCTCCTTCCTCACATCAGGGTAACTGGCTGAAATTTAGCAATTTTGGGCTCTGTTTGTGTTGCTTTGTGTGCACGTATAAGTTGTGAAAATTCTGCTGTCCATCATGAAATATGTATTATATGGGTACTGTTTCTTTAAGCTAGTTGCAGAAATTGGATCTGTTTGAGCGCAAAGTCCAGTTATAAAATGGTATAAATGTTCTAAACCTTGGTTCAGGTTTTGCAAATATGCAAAGTTATACTTCATGATCAGGAAGGGAGAGGGATATTTTAGGCTATTTCAGGCTGGTCTGCAGAAACTTGCTACTTTAACTGACTGGAACATGGGCTGGAGAAATAAACCATCTGCGTCCTATGGAGAATTCAGTCACTGCAGAGGTGGGACAGAAGGGAGAGCTGGATTGCGCAGCCAGAAGTGGTGCTGACAGCCATATTGCTCTCCTGCTTGTGAGTCAGAACTTTTTTGTACTTAAATGTGATCAAAGAAACGTGGTGAAGTGCTTAAGATAGATGGTGTGACTGCTTCCAGCGCAGGGAAAAAAGGTGTCTCTGATGCAGAATATAGTAGTGGGGGCTTGAGGCTGGACGCAAAGGGACACGCAGTGCTGCTCAGCAGATGGTTTTTCACTGCCAGGAGAGCAAAAGGCACTTTCTGCCTTCAGAGTACCAGAAGTTAGTACTTCAGAGTTAGAAAACATCTAACAAGGTGTCTGTGGATCTAGACTAAAGGGGAAGGTTTCCCTCATCACAAGGGGAAAAGTGACGTCACGTTTAGCGAACCAGGAGAATGACTTCTAAAAAGTAGGAAGATTTGTGCAGTGAGACCACAAGCTGTGGGCATAAAAAGTCCATTGTACTCTTATACAAGAGATGGTTTTATCTTATGGGAAGCAACTGGTTGAACTAAGCAGCCCAGATCTTACTCTGTCAGCTACCCTAACCCTGAGGAGAAGAAACCCTTATTTCTGTTTCTAAGTGGCTCAAGTGAGAAGGTGTAGGTAGGAGACACTGTAACCCTGAGGAGGAGAAAGCCTTGTTTCTGTTTCTAAGTGGCTCAAGTGAGAAGGTGTGGGTAGGAGACACAAGTAGCTATGGTGTATGTGCTGCCCTGCTGGGCAACAGATCCACCCGTGGCCTGGCTGCTGGCTGTCAAGTTGTGGTGGTGAACTGGCATCACACTGAGGGTCCAGCTGGAGCACCTTAGTGCTGCTGGCGATGCCTCAGAGGTGTGTGTGCAGGGGGCTGCTGAATATTTGGGTCCTCTCAGTTTCTGTCCAGGTGCTCTGAGTTTCCTGTTCTGTCTTACCCATTGCAGTGGTGAGGAGAGATGAAGGGACTATCTTTGAGGCTGTAGCATCCTGTTGCCTTCAGTATTTTTCTGCTCGAAACCATTTAAAAGCAATAAAAACAGAGGAACAAGGTTAGTAAGTTTACGTGTAGTTTAATGCATTTAGCTGATACTAGATCGTACGATGCTTCGAGGTGGGAAGGCACCAACTGTGGAAAAAAAAAAAAATCTCAAATATTTCCAGAGTACAATGACCAGAAGATAAATATCTGGCAGCTGTAGTGGGACACACAGCACTAATGCACTGTGTCTAGTGGTAAACATGACAGATCCAGGCCTCAATCATGCCCGTCACTGTTAGGAGCAGCTTTCTGGAAGTTACGTTAATATATGGCTGGATTTCTTCCTCTGAGCATAATGGAATTCATGCTTATTTCTGCTAATAGTTAAAATGCTGTTGTCGTATAAAATGTAGTATAGAAAACTAGTACTTTTTCAATCAGCACTATCTTTTAGTTTGTTATAAAACCCAGTCAGGAATATATATATACCCCTTTGTGACTTGCCTAGTAAAGGCATTATTTGTTTCAAACAAGTGCTGCTTTGTCAACTTGTAATTAGCAAATGAATGCTGTAAGTAGTTCAGCTAAAAATAAAATAAGGCCATAAGTTTATTTAGAAAATTCTTGTGGAGGAAAAAAAAAAAGAAATCTTCTTTGCTGAAGACTGTTTCTTCAGATTTGTTTCTTGTTGCGATTGTCCTTCCAGACGCGGTAATTGAGCGCAGAAGCCATGGTCAGCCAAGCTAAATAAGGAACCATCAAATAAGCAGCTGTTTTGTTGATGTTATACCAGGAAGCAGTTGTAGCTGTTGCCGTACCAGTCGTGAGCAGGAGAGTCACCAACCCCTGAAACACAGGAAGGTGGTTAGTGTTGTTTTCACTTGTTGCGTTTTCTTAATTAGCTAGTCTTTGCGTGGCTCTTTCCGCTTAGCTCTGGCATTTGTTGGATCCCTCCACGAGGTAATTCCTCCTCAGAAAACCAAGCAGCAAAAAAAGGGAGAGATTTCTGCGGAGTTACGAGTTGAATTGACTCATAAAATGATACAACAGTCACAAGAAAGGGCATTGCAGCTGGGAATAGGAGAGGGACAATAAAATCCTTCTCGCCCACACCTTGTTTGGCAGCAGGAAGTGCCACATTGACTATAACCCAGTGTGACTTTTGAGCAAGTCACTTTTAAGGAACTAAGCTTAATTAGTCTTTTCATGCCATGGGTCCTGCCTGAAGGGATGCAGTGTGAAAGAATCAATGATGGATTGCAAAGTCTTCCACTGTTACAGCATTTCATATATATATTTACAGAACCAGGCAAATATTTTCTTTTTATTATTGATTTTTATTTTTGAGGCAAGCTGTTTTGCTTCTGACTGAGGAAAATTCATCTTGTCTGTAGTGGGTGCTGTTACCTGAGAAATGTTATGATAAGCTTCTTATCGCTGCTGTTTGCCAGAGATACCTAGGAATCTTAGTGAGGCATAAATGTTTACACTTTCTAGTCACACAAAAGCTCTTATCAAAGGGTGGCAGAAAGAGCTTCTTGAAATCTAAACATTTATGGAGGTTGTAGATATGTAAACTCAGGTGGCTGCCAGCATGCATTAAAGAGAATTTTAGAAAACTTCTGCAAGCCATATTGTATACTCGGGCTCATTTTCAGGGGTTTGTAACATTTGTTACAATGTACAAATTGTTACAAATTGTACATTTTCAGGATTGTAACACAAAACTTCTGTCTTAGCACCTTGCAAATGGCAAGCAAACGCTTGTGATTAAGAAACTTAACTTTTCCACTTACCCATCCCATTTTGTGAGCTCCAAAAAATATTGGAGTCCATGCCCAGTTTAATGCCAGCTGCCCCGCGTACAGACCCAGAGGAACCACCGATTTTTCGTTGAAGCCCCCCAATTCCTTCCACACCAGGTAGGAGCCATATCTGGAGAAAACAAATGTAAGGTGTAATTCAGTATGTTGGTTGGAAAGCAGCCACGCATCCTTGATCAGATGAAACGACTTCAGTGCTGGGGTCTAAATTCATCTGGCAAAGTAGATATCCAGGTACTACTTGGCAAAGTAACGGACTGCACAGGGTTGATATGGAGGGCAAAAAACTCCCCATCCTCTCAGAGTTCTTGCTTCTAGGTGCAGAGGAGCAGATGACCTACTGCATTTCAGTCTTGAAAGGGAAAGCTGTGTTGAAATGGAAGCAAGTCTTAAGATACAAGGCTAAAAGGTAAGTAAGTCTCCAAATGGAAGCAAGTCTTAAGATGCAAGGGTAAAAGGTAAGTCTCTAAATAGCGAAGGAACTGCTAATTTTGGTTCCGGGAGAACACAACCCACCAACTTTTTAAGTGGATGAAATTCGTATAGGAGAAGTAGGAATTGAGTGGCACCCCAAAGCCATAGGTGAGTATGGGGATGGATGGTGTTTGAGCAGGAGGAACCCTACAGTCACTTTTTAGAAAGAAGAGGATGATACGGGGAGAACAAAGGTTTTAGGAGTTCGGCGGAAAGACTTCACCATAAGAAGTATCCAGCAACCTTCCTGTCTGCAGGACTCTGGCTACTGAAAGATCTTGCAAAAATATTTTGAAGATTTTGCACAGATCTTCTTAATGCCATAGAAGAACAGTTCACTGCAGGGATCCTAGAATGCACGCTGCTAAAGACAGGAATTCTCAGGATTTAGGAGATTTACTAATGTAAGGTTTATTTTTGTACTGAACAGAATATAATTTTGAAAACAAATATATTTCAATATATAAATTTTCAATTTATAAATATAAATTTTCAAAATATATTTATTTTTGGAATATTATTATATATATATTATATATAAATTTGATATATATATCAAATATATATTTGAATATCAACAGCCTGATTAGAACAGGGAGCGTTCAACACCTAAGACTATTTCTTTTGCTCTTCTTTGACTTCCCCTTTAGACAGTAGCTACATTTCGGTCCAGATGACTGCACAGCAGGAGCAGACAAACATCCATAGGAGTAATTGCAAGGAGTTTGTCTTCATTTGTAAGTCACACAAGAAGGCCTTTTTTTCCTCTCCTGTTTAACCCAATCAAGGACACAAGCCATGCTTCTTGGCCCCCACTGAACAATGCACTTTTGATGTTTTTGGCAGTTTAATTGCAGACAGTATTAAAAAAAAAAAAAAAAAAAAAAAAA